TTATTTAATTTATTTTAGGGCTATTTATATATATATCTATATATTTTATATTTTTTTGGTATATAATATATATAAATATATATAAATAAATTAGTAATTTTTTTATTTTATTTAAATTACTATTTAGTAACTAGTAATTACTAATTATTACTATTTAGTAATTACTAAATAGTAATTACTATTTTTTTTTAGTAATTACTAATTAGTAATTTACTAATTTTAGTATTTAGTAATTACTAAATAGTAATTACTAAGTAAGAACTATTTAGTAAATTAGCCCTACCCTGCCACAACCGCACAGCATCTACCACTACTAGCCATGAGCGGTGGAAATGCAAGACATGGTGTGCTCACTGCGAGCCATGCCTGCTGCATAATAGAAAAGCAACTCATGCGGGGAAGCGTGGCTGGCTCCCCATTATCCCGATGAAAAGTGAAAGCTCACCACATACTATAGTAGCAGCCGTTTGCCTTTGCAGTGCGCCAGCGAAGCACAGCGTCGAGCACAAAGTGGAGACACAGAAGTCTTTTGCTGGTAGCCCGGCTCCGAGGTGCGGTAGGAGGCGTTATATTGCAGGGAGCAGCATCGTCAGAGCGAGCCGCAATCCATGAGTGTGAGGATGCAGGTCACGAGCTAGAGAAGGGCTTGGATTCAGCGACCAAGTGCGACGTTGAGCATCCGTGGGTCTAAAATAAAAGGCCCTGTTTGTACTCCCCAAGCGGTGGTTAGCTTGGCTGATGAGTTGATAGAGCTTGCTTCCGTGGTTGACCTGTCGAAGCGGTCCACAACGGCAACATGTGGTAGCCGTGGGTTGGCTCGTAAACTATGGCTCAGCAGAGGCATCGACGAGTAAGCCACCCACCCTGTGGAGAGCTTTGGGCTGGCATGTTCAAGGGGCCAGACGAGGATGAGGAGAACGGCGGCATGCGGGCAGGGCCTTGGTGAAACACGCCTCGCTTGTACATAATCCTGAGCATCCTCCCGTCCATGCGAGGGCAAGCTGTCTCACGTCGACTAATAACTCTGGCCCATTACGACGTCGCGTCCCAGAGATCGCCCGGATTGCGTTGCCGCATCGATCCCATCATCCTTGGTCGCCCTTGGTTGGCACAGCGAGTCGTGGTAGTAGTGGTAGCAGAGAAGCAACAAAATCCACCATATCCACCATATTTGAGCGTCCACGTCTTCTGCCATTAACAACAAGAGAACGACAAGACGACAAGACCAGACTCAAGACTCGCTTGTCGACGGCAAGCACCGCCAGTTAGCGTCCTTTCCCCAGCGTAGGAGCGGACTTTAGCTGCCGATCGCCATCCTCGCCGCCGCCGGGGGCCTGGAGCATATTCACACCCATTTGACGTCTTCGCTCCCCCACAGCTACTACTACTGCTGCTGCTACTGCTACTCCCTCTACCCTCCCAATCTTCTTCACCACGACTCAAGTCCCAACCACTCGCGCTCAGTCCACGCGCTACCACGGTTCCTCTCTCTCACTCTCGCGCTCTACCACCCACAGATCGTGCCGCCCTCCCCTCCCCGGCCGGCAGTGCAGCATATAAACAACCCACTGCCCCGTCGCTGCATTCCGCAACAATCGTCCCCACCGCGCCGCCCTTGCTTCCCCGCTGGAGATACGATTTCTACCCTGATGCGTTCCCCGCCTGGCGCGCAAGACCATCGCTTCGAGTTTAGCATGCACAGTGGTTAGGACAACCTACCTCCCACCTTACACAGACCCAAGGGCGCTCGCGAACCTGCACATACATATCAACCCGCGCGCCCTCCCTCACGGGCAACACCCACGCAGCACACTCCCTTTGCTCGCCGTCGCGTCCACTGTACACACATTCTTCGTATATTCTCTTCATAGTCCCTCACTACTTGGGCTGTAATTCTAGTAGGCAAGTACGGCGCAACCCCGCACCGTGCCCTCTCGACTGCTGCTTGTCCTCATTGCTGACGCCTGAGCCCAGTCCTCCGCCATTCCCGCACCCATAAGCCACTCCGCCCTACTTTACTCTACTACGCTGCTCTTTACCGGAACTCTCGTCGCCGCCTAGTCCCCGTGCTTCAATAACACCACACTCGACTCGTGTAGATGGACTCTGCGTCCAGTGTTCTCAGTCGTAATATGGTAGCCATGGCAAGCAATGTGCGTTCCCACTTCCCAACACAGCACTACACACTCGCTGACAAACGCCTTCAGACGCGATCGCGCGACTTCACAGGTGGCGTCTCGCTCAACGGTGCCGACACCGAACGCTCGTCACACTCTTCGCCGTGGGGAAAGAACATATGGAACAGCAATCCCCTCTTTGGATTTGGCTCAGCCGCCAGAGAGGGTTCGCGGCCAAGAGGTACGCAGTGGGAGCAAAGAACTGGGTGTTCCTTTGCCAGCACTGACACGTGCACAGAAAATGACTCGTTCGCTGGTGCCACCTCAGACCTCACTGAAGGCAAGACTGGCTCCGGCTCTCTCGTTGCCGACTCTGAAACCGAATGGAGGCCAAATCGCCCGTCTTGGGGAGACAATTCCTCCAAAAGTATACCGCATGTCAGGAGTTCTGGCGTATCACCAGCACGCAAGCGATCCATTGCACAAGCGCAAACGTCGCAGCAATACGCCGATAACTCTCCCTCCACTTTCTTCCCAGTCGCAAGGGCATCCGCAGTAGGCCAAATCCCAGCCTCGAACCCCGCAAAACCACACCTCGATCCTACCTCGATGAACTTCACCTCGTCGCGCCAAATCGAGTCGCTAAACACAGGATTCTCAAACTTTGGCTTCGGCCAGCCAGAGGCCAGCCTACAGCGCCCTGATACTGGTGTTACATCATGGCCAGATGGTGCGTCAGTGCACTCCCCCAGCGACGATCGCCGAAGTGTAACAAACTCCGAGTATTTCGCCCCGTCCAGTGGTGCACCCTCCCGGAGCGGAAGTTTGCCGCCATCGAGGCATGGAGCGGAACCAGCCCAGTACAATCAATCCGTAGACGCCTTCTCCCGATTTCCGCCAGCTCCCTCACGACAAGCATCGTCCTTTTCCATTGCCAACGGTCGCTCCTTCCAGGAACGTAGCGGTTCGATACAAAGCGAGTCATATCAAACGCTAAATCGACTGGCCCTCGAGCAGGACCAAGATGCGCGCATGGCAGCTCATAGGTCTTCTATTAGTGGCAACGGTTATCCTTCCTCTTTCACTCCCGGACAAGACTCCAATGTGCCACGCGACAGCTACCCAGACCCACAGCTTCCTGTGAGGGCGGATGATACCAACTACAGAACCGCAGGATCATACACGCCTGACCATTACGGAAACGGCCAAGCCAGTGACCCCAGTGTTCAGTTCCGATCGTTCCAATTCGACAATAGCCGTAGTGCGCCGAATGGAACTGGTGTCCGCCAAAGCCCATTCTACTCTCACATCAACACACCACCCGCGTATGATCGCCTTAACCCCGATCGCAGCGAGCAAACCCTGTCTCACCCCAACAATATTGCGCAACTGCAGAACAAATTGGTCGGCTATCAAATCCAGCAGGAACAGCGCAACTTCATTCCTCCAAGCCAGTTCCACCAGCAACAATTTCAGCATCTCTTGCCAGCAAACCAGCTGCGACATCCTTATGGTTACCAATTCGCCATTCCCAACGGTATGCAATTAACCGCAATACCTCCCCATATGGCCATGGGACAAATGTCACCCATGATGCCCGTCCAGCAACCACCGCGAGCCCCTCGAGAACAGCAAATCAGCGATGGTTTAGGCACCATGAGCATAGAATTGCAGAACTTCAAGAGGGAACAGAAGCAAAGTAAGCGCTGGGAATTGCCTGATATCTACACACATGTGGTTGAATTCGCCGGAGATCAGCACGGATCTCGATTCATCCAGCAGAAACTTGAAACGGCCAACAGCGAAGTCAAAGACCGCATCTTCCAGGAACTGCAAAGCGATGCCCTACCATTGATGCAGGATGTCTTTGGCAACTACGTCATCCAGAAGTTCTTCGAGCATGGTGATCAAACGCAGAAGAAGATTCTTGCTGGTAAGATGAAGGGGCATGTACTGGCATTGGCGAACCAAATGTACGCTTGCCGTGTAGTGCAAAAGGTACGTCCTATATTTTTCCTACTTTGTGCATGTGCTAACTGTGCTAGGCTCTCGAACATGTCCTCACTGATCAACAAGCTGCCATGGTGAGGGAACTCGAAAAGGATGTCCTCAAGACGGTCAAAGATCAGAACGGCAATCACGTCATCCAGAAGGTCATTGACCGAGTGCCCACGGAGCACATCCAGAATATCGTTGAGGCATTCAGAGGCAACGTCGGCGTGTTGTCGGTTAATTCCTACGGCTGCCGTGTGATACAAAGATTACTCGAAAAAGTCCAGGAGCCTCAGCGAAGATTCATTCTGACCGAACTCCACGCGGAGGGACCGAAACTTATCACAGACTCGTACGGTAACTACGTCACCCAGCATGTGATTGAGCATGGCTTACCCGAGGATCGCGCCAAGATCGTTGCCCTGATTCAGGCACAGTTTCTCATGTTCTCCAAGCATAAGTTCGCTAGCAATGTGGTTGAACGGTGCTTGGTATGTGGTGATGATGAGCAGCGCCGTCAGCTTGTCACCACTGTCATTGCCAAGAACGAGCGCGGCGAGACAAACATCCTGAACCTACTCAAGGATGGTTACGGCAACTACGTGGTCCAGAAGCTGCTAGAGACCCTCGGCCGCGACGATTATGATACCTTTGTCGTTGCCCTAAAGCCTGAGCTAGAGAAGGCGAAGAAGATCATCTCGGGCAAACAGATTATTTCAGTAAGTCTTGCGTCATTCTTTTCACACGCCTTCAAATATTGATTGCTGCTTTAGGTCGAGAAGAAGATGTATCGGTACGACCGCATCGACTCTCCTACAATGCCCCGCGACGACGCACCGCCTACTCCAGGTCTTACCAGCTCTACACAGTCACCACAAAGCAGCTGCCTCCCCAGCACGAGCACGTCCACCATCGACGAACCTGTACACACCGCGACACCGGCTGGGAAACCGGACCTTGCTCCCACTACTGGCGGGATCGATATCAAGGAGCACGCCTCCTAAACCACGCGCACGATCTTCATACATATCCATTTGTCATCCGACGTCGCACTCGTTCCACTCACTCTACATATATCTGTATCAGATCGACCCTCGAAGCCATTTCGCTCGATTTTGCTCTTGAATCCAGGGTCGGCAACACATCTGCATTTTACTGTTCATATACCATACTTTTGTTGATCCTTGATTATTATTATTATTTCATAGCAGGCCGATGGCGCTTTCCTGTGTGTGTGTCTTACATTAGCATCAGGTAACCATACCATTTTGCACAAAAAGAAAAGATTCCGGAGTCAAATGAGGAAATGTCATTACTGGACTTGGACATTGCTTAGGCAACCATATACATTTACGAAACTGGCGTCGGGACGGGATGGGAAGGGGAGCCATAGATGGGAATCTCGCTTGATAGGATACCATGGAGGGCGCGCGTAGATGTACGGTTAGGGAGAGGGAGAATGAAATCATTATTTATATGCTTATTATCTGATTCCGCTTCGTTTGCTTCTCGGGAATGTGTGATGTTAGGAGTACCATAGTCGACTACTTACCGTGGCCTGAATTTACCTATGTGAACTCTCATCTCGTTTCTTTTCTTCAGACATGCTAATGCCGCCTAACTTGCCTCAAATTTGTGGCGCTCTTGCCTGAGGGGCGAGTATAGGAGACTCTCCGGCGTAACGCGCCGATAGGTCCCGTGACGCTGGTACAGCAACTACTTGGGATGGTTTATAACCGCCTCCAGGCGTCACTGTTGTTTCTCCCCTGACATAGTAGTAGTTTGGCCCTAGATGTCTATTTTCATCCAAGCTGCCAGGGGACGTGAACTTGGTGGCGCTTGGGCTGAAGGCGAGCACTTGAATCGGGGACTTCTTCGCGGCGAGATAACGCATCATTTCAGTGGCAACCTGGCCATGGCGCCACTGGCGCTTTTGGTCATCTTCTTCGCAGTTCCAGGGCTCGCGGCTGAAGAATGGCGCGTGGGTTAGCCGTAAGACGCGCAACTTGGGGAGCGTGGTGATCATGTCCTGCACAAGGTTAGCATTGTTGGTGGGAATTCACGATATACATGGGACTTACTAACGATTCGGCAAGCTGCGCGCCCTCCGTTGTGCGTTCGTATGATGGAAATATGGAGAAGGGCTCCAGCGTACCCTACCCGGAAAGATTGCTAAAGTCGACAAACAGAGAGAGACCCAGCTCCTCGAGGTTTGGGCACACTTGAACCAGCTCATTCAACTCGTCGAGAGTATACAGGTGAGATCCGTCGTTGGTGAATGTATCGGCCCAGTGATGAAGGAAATCGACAAGCAGGCACCGCAAGGACGTTCCGCAGTGAGTGAGGTCCTCTACCTTCAAACGGTCACCGCTTCGTATCGAGAGGAACAGCGTTTCCAAATGCTGTGTGAACTTGAGTACCGCTCCAAGCGACTCGAGCCATGGGCTGTGTAGCTGATTCTGCCATATGGAAAGCGTTTTAATGCCTGTCTTGTCCGAAATAGAGAGCTCGGTAGCCAATTGTTTGAGGAAGCCTCCGAGACCTGAGCATTTGTGAATGCTCAATTCCAGGAGATAATAGAGCTTGAGCCACTGCCCAAGCGGTTTAGGGGTGGGCGGCAGGTCAAGCGCTTCTAGTTCTAGGCTCTGAAGGTCCAGTTGTGCAGTATTTTGCGATGCACTGCAAAACTGGAGGCGGTCTTCATGATCACCACGCTCTGAGCCCCCAATTCGCAGATGTCGTAGCGACGACGTGTGACGAGACCAGGCTCCATAACCCATGTCGTTTGGTTTGGGGCATACTGACAGATGGGTCAGGCTTTTTAGGTTGTTCGCAAGAAACTGGTCGCTCGGGACACTGTGCGCCAAGGTTGGGGCCGAGAGCTTGAGTAGTTTCGTTTGACTCTTGATGAGAAGACCAAGTGTGCGACAGTCCAACTCATCATAACTCACGAATTCTCTCAAAGAATCCCGTGGAAGAGCACACACGAGTTGAGTCAGTCGAAGCGCCACTGTACTGCTCAAAAGTCCTCGAGTCATGATAGTCAGGACCTTGACATTATCGAGGATACCGCCTCGTGGCGACTCAACGAGTGCGTCAAAAGTGCGACTGCCCTGGTCGCGAAGATTGGTCTCGAAGTCTTCCCAGAGTACTGAGTTGGCGACATTTCCCCACTGCTTGTTGGTGAGACAGAGGCGCTTCAGTGTGTCAACAGGGAGCTGGATATAGTCAGCAATCATTCTAGGCCGTATCTGATGGAATAAACATACCAGGGCGCAGATCATTCTTTTCAGTTCTGGTGGTACTGCTTGTGTGTGGTTGCGTTTGTCTGTAAGAGGCTCTATTGTCGTCGAAATTCCCTCATACCGTCTGTGTTTGTTGGATGAGACCATTTGCGTTGAGGGTTAAAATACATTTGATATATCTGGGACAATATTGTTAGTAGAAGGAAGAAAAGCAATCAACGTTATTCTGTTTGGCTCTACCCTTGGTAGCTTCCAGCATGACAGTTGCAAATTCAAATAGAACTGAGGCACTTGAGGTATATTTGACTTTGTATAATGAAAAAAAAATTGTACTTACAAGTCAAGGGCTGGTGGTGCCCAATATACTCTGTGTTCTGTGCTCTTTTGATACCGTTGACCGAGTTGAGGGTGGTTGGTCAGGTGTAATGATTGAGAGAGGTCATAAGAGAGTGTGAGGAGGATTATATGCAAAGCAGTGGTTGGGGCGTAATCGCACGTGGTCCTAGGTAGCGCTCAATACATAGATTTCACATTTCCCTCTTCGCGATAAAAGTCCCTATAGTGAAACCCGCTTACTTTTGTATACCGGACTGTCTACCTATAATTTTCTTACTTTCCTTAATACTTTGCAAAGAGCTCTGGGGCAAGCTTTGCTGTCTATAGGCAACATATTCCAAAGTTTTTCGGGATGTAAGGATCAAGGTCACTGGGCAAGTTGCTGTTTCACAGTTTGTACCTTTGCTACCAAACGGCAGCCTATAATCATCCCCTAATCACACCTTTATACTTTTTGGTGTACTTACCAATTGACTTTACAACATCCTTCAAGTCCGAACACGGTGTTTTTGGATTTATCTAGTACGAAGAAATGGTATGTGTCACGCAAAAAGCTACCTGCTTCGAGAAAAGGATGGAGGGGGGAAGTGGAGAGAGGTTAGCGCGATAGCCAATTATGTACGAGGTGAAACTCTAAGGGAAACTACTCATAAGCGGATTGTAGCTCTCTGTAACCGTCTAAAATCATGCGTCCACAGTTCTGTCCTCCACCTTAAGGATATAATCAGTCCGAGATTCTGACTATCTACCCATAACATGTAGTGACTCTCTGCGTGTAGGCTGTTTATATTCGACTACCAATACGGTTCTTTTTAGAACATCTGAGTCACCTCATGGAATGGTTCGACTTTGCCGAACTGCGCTCTAGACATTGGAAGCGCCACAGCTCCCATGTAATTCGGATCATCACTAGTCACTTTCCCCTTCCTAAAATAGAAGTTCGGCCAGGTCGATTCCCCATTGACGGTGGCCGCAGAGCGAGGGGACCCGTAACCTGATGGTTTGAACACAACGTATCGTATCGGCGAGCCATGTGCAGCCATGAAGGTAAAAGTCTCGGATGCTATGCGCTCGTGGCGGAACATACGCACGCGCGCATTAGTTTGGAAGCGCATGTATGTCGAGTGAGTGAGGCAGAGGGTGCGCAGCTTTGAGAGTCGAGCTAGGTGTACCTGAGATAGCATGAGCGTGAACTCGGTACCGATATGAACGGGCGTAGTGCTTACCAGTGCTTGCGCCATCTGCCTTCCTTCAGGAGTAGTGCTGGAAGAGAGGGAAATGCCGACCGCCTGCGAGATGGACCACTCCCTAAAATCGATGTTTGCAACACCGACGCCGAGTACCTCAAGGTTGGGACACGTATTGACAAGCTGCGCCAATTCGCTAATGGCATATTTGGTGTCCGTATGCATGGATCCTGCCCCTCGACCCTTTGAGAACCCAAGTAAGAGGTATTGTAGGGACGTCCCATTAGACTTGAGACATGATACAGCAAGAGGAATTTCACTTTCGGCGTCGACAACGATACCCTTTAGGCTTGAGACAGAGTTCAATAGTTCTTCTACAGATTCCATGCCCTTCTCGTGTCTTCTGCTAAAGACTTTGAGAGCAGAGGGCTCTGTGCTTTTCGCCATTTGCTGAGCCACAAGGGAAAGGAGCGGTGACGAGTTCTCACAGGAATCGATAGAAAGTTCCTGCAGTGACGGCAGGTGTAAACACATGACGATGTGTGATGGTGTCTCCGGAAGTCGAACATTCACTAGGTATAGCTGTCGAAGCTTAAGGTTCGGCGCCGGTGCTAGTGATGCCCAGCCATTGAAGGCTAATTTGGCCTGTAATAAGGAGACTGATCCTATGATCTTTAGTCCCCTCAACGCTACCAGATCCGGTAGCCATTTGGCGTATCCATCCTCCTCGTGTCCAGTAGCGTATATGCCCAGCGTCACCAATCGCGCAAGGCTCCCGTTAACATATTCTTTGCTAGGTGGGCCACTAGGTAGTCCAAGGTGTTGTATTGGCACACGAAGGGACCATAACCGAGTTTGAGTCCGTAAAAGTAGCCCCACAGTGCTCATTTCCAGAGGCACTCGACTGCTGAATATCATTAAGGAGTTGCGTGGTAGAACGCACAGGAGTTGTAAAAGCTTCAAATCTGCATCGTCGACCACGGTACCACTCGCCGGATGGTCAATGTTCAGGACTCTCACATTATCCAGGAAACCGTTGGCACGGGAGGTTAGAAGTGCGTCAAACTTGCGCTGTTCAGTCTCGGCAAAGCTAGTCGTAAATTCATGATACAGTAGCGAGGCTGCTACATCGCCCCATTGCTTATTGACAAGGCGGACATCTTTGAGCTTCGCAAGTGGTAACTACTGCAAAGCCAGCAGGAAAAAGTCAAAGATTGAGACGTTGAGATTTACGAGAGCGCAGACTGCATGCTTTAATTCTGGAGACAACTCAAGTGAGCTATTGTAGAGGGCCATCGGATCACGACACGCAGGCTCGCAAGCCGTATTATGATGGGGTGGCGCAGTGGGAAGAAAAGAGAGAAGTAGGATTGCAATCCTCGCCTAGAGCCCTCTACATAACGTAGAAACGGTGTTTGCAATAAGGGACGGAAGTGGAGAGCGGGCTTTATAGTGGATAGATAGTTTCCTCGTGACTTCATCAGACTGCATACATGCACGTCGCCGTAGTGCAGGTTACGACGGATAGTGGCAGGGACTAAAAGAAGCAAACACCAAACCAAACCGGGTCTCAAAACCAGTGACCAACAAATCACGTTAGATACGACCTGAGAATCCAAAGCATCAAGATTTTGTAGACCAACCTTGCACTCAAAGTACTTTCACAGAACCAGCGATAGTTCAACTAGGGCGTAGGCGCTTTGGAAATCCTCTTAGACCAACCGTGTAATGCTGAAGCCGAGAAAAAGTGGGCTTGCAGCGGGACGCCATGGGCCCACCGCCCGCCTCCATGTTTAGCTGCATATCCGGAGCATTTCGCGTAGCCAATCCCGGACTATACGACGTATATCCACGGATGGAAATCGATAAGTAGCCGTGGATCAGCCCCTGAGACGACCTATCTCATGGACTTCCATATTCTCTGACGTTGGCGGAGGATGACAGTGACGACGTGCAATGCGCTGCGCCTAGATTGTATAGCGCAATCGGGGGCGCTGAAGAATGGACAAAGCCCAGCCACCCTCGCACACTACTCACCTTATATACCACGTCTTACCCTCCCTCTCATTTCTTCGTCATTGCAGTGAGACATCACAATTGGCAACGAGTAGTTCATGAATATGACCGTTTGATATTGGGCTACGTGAGAAACATCCTCGGTGCTCGTTGAACCGAGGTGTGCACAACCAAGTATCCCGTGAAAGCATTTGACGCCTAGCTGACCCAACCTGGATCGATGCAGACGCAGAACACAGACCCTATGATGGTGTTGAAGAATCGAAAAAGGACCTCTACCCATGCAAGCAGTCTGGCTGACCTGCATTTCGACATCCGTACAAACAGAAACGACAGTAATCCATGCTGTCACGAAGAAGATAACACGGCCAAAAGTCTTGAGCTCGAAAGACGCCTAATCCGCCCAGCCGCCTAAGTTGGTAGTGGAGATGGGAGCGGCCACGTTTGCCGCGTAACCGCCACCAACGTTGCCTGCAGGAGCGTAGTTGCAGACGGTGTACTTGTTCAACGACGACGACTGGCCTCCAACCATCATGTTGCTGCCGCAATCTATGGAGACGCAGCCGACCTTGGTGGTGCCCTTCCAGACCAGCTGGGTCAGATGACCGACGCTATGAAAGACGTTGTCGGGAACGTTCTTCTGGCCAAAGTACGGCATCATTGGCTCGAGCTCGCCCTTATACCAGCTCTCCGTGATACCGGCAGTGACATTGAAAGCCGTTCCAGAAACGGTGAAGAGGTTCTGACCTTGGCCAGCGCCACTGGGGATATAGTGCTCAAAGGTGCACTTCTGGGCAGCGATGCGAGCATTCGTCTCGCAGTCGGCGTCCCAGGTCAGCGGCTTCGCATCGTGGTTGGCACGAGCAGCATTGTGGTGATACAGCACCGCAGCCTGGTAGTCGGCTCCAGAGGAGAGGTAGGCCTGGTCTTTTCCAGACACATGGTTGCTAGAGGGAGTAGCAGGCGCAGAAGTCGGGGTCGCGTTAGAAACAGGAGTGGGAGTTGCGCTAGAAACAGGCGCCGGGGCTGTGGAGCTGCTTGGTTCTGGTTCTGGTTCTGGCTGCGGCTCAGGAGAAGGAGAAGGAGAAGGAGAAGGAGTCGGAGTCGAGGAAGAGACGAGTTCGAAGGATGTTGGCTCAGGTGCAGGAGTTGTGGTAGGCTCTGGATCGGGGGTAGAAGTTGGCGGCAGCGGTGAAGCGCTGGACACCTCAGTGGACGTCGGCTCTTGCGAAGCGGTCGTGGAAGTGCAGAGCGATGTCGAAGCTGGCTCAGTGAACGGCTCGGTGACGAAGATGGTGAGAGTCGTGACTACCACGTCGGTTTCTGTGACAACATGACCCTTCCTGCGATGGGGTTGGGGCCTAGCCAGGACGCCTAGGGCCAGAGCAGAGGCGAAAAGAATGGAAGAACGCATCGTAGGCAATTGAAAAGAGCCTGGAGTTGTCGACGGTTGTAATGTGGTTGGGATCTCGGATCACCGTTGGTACAAGTTTGGAACGACTGTACACTTGGTCAGGACTGATCGTAGGCTACCAGGCATAGAAGTATGCAGCGGCATTGATTTATACTCGGCCGCCATATTGCCACTATACGGGGTGCTGTGAGTGTGAAGAGAAGAGTGGTCGGCCTACCTGACTATTTCCTCGGTACTGTGAACTGGTGGAGTGCGACCTGGGCGCACAGCTGAGACAAACGAGCGTGTAGTTGGACAAAGAAGGTAAAGAGCGTGGTCCTGTTCAGACAAGGCTGCACAAGGAGGGAAAAGAAGAGAGCAGAGGAAAGAATGTGGGCTGGTGATCAAGCGATGGAGAGCAGCGAGGGCGGGGCGAGGCGGAGAGGATATGCCATGAGGCTAAGATTACGCGAAACGAATTAGATGAAGCAGGAGCGTCTGTTGCCCGAAAGGACGCACGGGACGGCGATACACTGCGGACATTCATTCACCGCCAGCAGGGCCAATCTCAGCGTCTGGAATAAACTTGGTTGACGCATCGTACAGGGTAGGTTGTTGAGGGTAAGATGGATGGACGTGGTACAAAGGGCTCCCCGTTTGTTTCGAGTGAACAACGCATAGTAGTGGCCATTCACGGTGAGTGAGTGAGTGACTTCAGTGCGGCAAGACGTGGTGGTTGCAATGCCTATTTCCAAGCCTTCGTCTTCTGCTTCTGCTTCACAAGACAGATGACCTTCACTTGTGGAAATGTAATAGTCATCACTGGCATTCTGGAGCAATCGTGTGGGGGCAACAGAGGGCCTAGATGGTTTGTTTGATGAAGGGAGGTGTTGTTGGTAAGAAGCGGCTTCTCCTTCCTCGTTGGGCCAATCCGAGCCATGATCGGCGCCAGGTAAACAAGTACGCACGGGGCAGGTGCGGATCCTTGGCGGGCGCGGCAGGGGGATATGTGAGCTCAATGTGAAGGCGCCATCAGACTCCTTCATCTTCACCGCGTCACACTACCGCCCACTACCGCGCAATCTGGCCAACGGCCTCGTCAACGGCCACGAATCGCTTCATCATGTGTTCTGTGCTTGTACGCCTCTGACGCTGTGGACGGCTCGAATCTGCAATCTTCGGCTGTGTAACAAACACCAGTCTCACTACAGCACTGTCCTGGCATTAGACCACCGGGCCAGCCGCAATGTGAAATAAATTCCCCGCTTGTCTCACCAGAGCGTGCGTGTGCCATTGTGAACTCGAGCAGGACTTGAAACCTATCCACCCTGCCAGGGCCACATTCGGATTTCTTGCTGTCAAATCTTTTTATTATTTATTTATTTTCTACCCCTTCCCGCCTGAGGCCTTGAGTGTGGCCAGAACATACATGGTCTGCAACATTCGAACACAACCTATACTTGAAACAGTAGCCGCCTCCCTGTCCTACCTTCCCGCGTTGAAGCTCCACCCTTCATCTTGAAAAACATGTCGTCGGCCAAAACGTCGCGAGCTTATTTGGAAGACTACAGCGCTGCCGTTGTCACACATGATGCCCAAGGAGAGACGCCTCTAGATCTATTCTCCAGATCATCGATGCCGACCCGAGCCCCGAACTTCGGTCCATCTCCCCAGACTCAGCCTGGTTGGTGGATCTCGTGCACATAGCTTCGCGATGCTGGAGCATTCATTTAACTTCATAACTTCATCTCCGCCTTCAACATGGAAAGCCTGTCGTAGACCTTCAGGCTATATCCTCCCAGACCTAACGCAATACCATGTTCAAGCACTTCGCCGCGAACAAACTTCTCTCGTCCTTCCGCGAGTTACCGAGACACTTTCGGGCTCGCCGACATGGTGCTTCGATCTTATGAACAGACCTGGACAGGCGTTTTGAGACTTTGATGTATAGCTTGATGTGGGCATGCGTACCAGTAAGTCTCACCGCTTAATAGAGTCGGTCATTCACAACGTCGGCAGCGACCGTATACTCGTGTTTCAATGCTCTCACGACGCCTCCCGACTCGATTCTCGCATTGTCGTTTCCCAGAATATAAGCCTGTCAATAATCTACTCCCGTGCAACGCGGGGGTTTAGAACCAAACTACAACCAGCATCCACTGACGACGCTCCCCATTTCTGGAAGGCGTTTCTTGCGTTTGGCTTGAAACCACCGACTTGAAAGAGATAGACAGCCGAGTCAAGGCGACGCCTGCATAACAAATGCCGGCACATGACTTAGAGATGATATCAACGGCTTGGACCAGTTTCACAAAAAGCCAAAAAACCCTGTTCCAATCGGCTTCCCAATTACAGACGAGACGGCGACCTGAGGCTCGGTTAGATTGTCTCTAGTTATGACGAGAGAACCGAGGCATAAACCAAAAGCTTACGACCAGTCTTGCTTCCATCACGCGATTAATAAAACTAGATGGGAACGCACTCATTGAGTTCCTTTGTGGGCCAGAAAAACTACGTCACTGCTCTATGCTTTACTTCTTCGTCTTCTCCTTTCGTGTAGAGACTGTGAGAGCCTAGTCGGCACCACATATGAAGGGGCTCACTCTTTCTATCGTAACAGCGGTAGTGCGCTACCCGTTAGACTTGGCTCGATAAGGAGGACATGATTTCTAGTATACGCTTTGACGCTATGAGCAGGCAGTTGAAGGATTTAAGTTCTGCTCGATGGGTGTTCAATGGGTAAGGAACACCGAATAGTATAAAATGCAAGCTTCACTAGTTACTCTGATAATGCATGCCTCACTTTGGCCGATGGGAGAACCAAAGTATACCCTCATGCACTTACAGGCACTCCGGCCTTTCTTCCACAGCCGTACTTTGATCCCATAATGCAATAGACACAGGATTAGGACACTGAGGGAGATGAACGTTGCACGAGAATCTTTAACAAAGAAAAGCCTCTTGATGACCCAGATTACGAAAACAGGTGAACTGCATGCAGGTCATGTGGAAGTCCTGGGGATTGCTCCGGAAACAAACTTCCAGCCAGTCAAAAATGCGGAGATTACGTAGGTTTGGCGGGGGGCAAGGTGGGTCGGCGAGGCTGCCGGAGCTTCTATGAACCACGATTATCTTGCCGCATTCCACCTTGGTATCGCGACCGCTCCACCTCCCCAAGATACCCGGTGCTGTATGCCTACAGTGCGACTCCATCTTCGAGGACCCTGTTATTCTGCTCGAACCGCGACTGCAATTGCGTCTACCCGCCGAATACCTACGCGAACAACTGTCCCGCGATCCATACCTCGAGCGCAACTGCGCACGCTCCATACGTCACTGCTCAGGATGGATACACACAATACGTCTGGCGTGTCTGCCTCTTCGGGCGACGACCTAAATCTCAAGAATAGGCTGAACGAGAGCCGAAGCCCATACGTCCGCGGCCATATGAACAATCCAGTCGCATGGCAGATGTGGGGACCAGAGGCCATCGAGCTGGCGAAGAGGTCCAACAGACTGATATTCATCAGCATAGGCTATGCTGCATGCCATTGGTGTCATGTCATGGAGCGCGAGTCGTTTGAGAACCAAGAAGTCGCAAACCTACTAAACAAGAACTTCATCCCGATAAAGATTGATCGCGAAGAGCGTCCCGATGTAGATCGGATATACATGAATTATGTTCAGGCTACGACCGGCTCGGGCGGATGGCCGCTCAATGTCTTCATTACGCCGGATTTAGAGCCTATATTTGGTGGGACGTATTGGCCGGGGCCGGGCTCCACGATGGGCATGGGTGAACAGATCGGGTTTATCGGCATCTTGGAGAAGATAAGGGATGTCTGGAAGAATCAGCAACAGAGGTGTTTGGATTCGGCGAAAGAGATTACAGCGCAACTGCGAGACTTTGCAGAGGATGGAAACATCAGCAGAATGGATGGTGCGGATCACGATGGGCTGGAGTTGGAGCTGCTCGATGAAGCTTTTGAGGTACGTGCAGTTGTTTTGTCGTTCTCCGCATGTGAACTGATCAGTCGCAGCACTTCAAGAGAAAGTACGACCAGTTACATGCTGGCTTTGGAAGCGCCCCAAAGTTCCCCACGCCCTCGAACCTCCATTTCCTCCTGAAACTATCTCAATATCCGAGCGCGGTTGCCGACGTCATCGGAGCAAAAGATTGCACATTTGCAAAAGATATGGTACTGGCGACGTTGGATGCGATGAACAGGGGTGGCATACACGACCAGATTGGTAATGGCTTCGCGCGATACTCGGTCACAAACGACTGGAGCTTACCGCATTTCGAGAAGATGCTTTACGACCAGACGCAACTACTACCGGTGTATCTGGATGCGTATCTCGTGACAAAGAGCCCCGAACATCTCGCTGCTGTTCACGACATTGCGACGTATCTCACTAGTGCGCCTATGCAAGCTGTACATGGTGGCTTCTTTTCCTCAGAAGACGCGGACTCTTTATATAGACCAAACGATAAGGAGAAACGTGAAGGAGCATTCTACGTGTGGACTTTGAATGAATTACAGGACATACTAGGCGATCGAGATGCTGAGATCCTGGCACGATATTACAACGTCAAGGACGAGGGAAATGTTGCTCCCGAACATGATGCCCACGACGAGCTCATTAATCAGAACGTGCTTGCGATCACCACAACACGGGCAGATCTAGCGAAACAATTCGCTCTTTCTGAGGAAGAAGTGAACAAGACCCTCGCCCAAGGCCGACAAAAGCTGCTCGAGCACCGCAACAAAGAGCGCCCAAGACCCGCTCTTGACGACAAGATCGTCGTATCATGGAACGGCCTCGCCATTGGGGCTCTAGCACGAACAGCTGCAGCACTTTCCGCGCAAGACCCTACGTGCTCAAGAGAGTATCTCGCTGCAGCAGAGAAGGCCGCCTCATTCCTCCGGAAAGAACTCTATAACAGCGATTCGCGTACACTAACACGTGTCTATCGGGAAGGCCGCGGCGACGCCCCCGGTTTCGCAGACGACTACGCCTACCTCATTTCCGGGCTCATAGACCTCTACGAAGCGACCTTCAACGACACATACCTCCAATGGGCAGACGACCTCCAGCAATCACAACTCCATCTTTTCTGGGACAAAGAGAACCTTGGCTTCTTCTCCACGCCCGAGAACCAGACTGATTTGATTATGCGATTAAAGGATGGAATGGATAATGCGGAGCCGGGTACGAATGGCGTGTCAGCGCACAACCTAGATCGCCTAAGTGCGCTGTTGGAGGACGGGGAGTATGGCAAGAAGGCAAGGGAGACGAGTAGTGCATTTGAGGCGGAAATCATGCAGCACCCGTTTCTGTTCCCGAGTATGATGGACTCTGTTGTCGTTGGGCGATTGGGTATCCGACACACTGTTATCACTGGTGAGGGCCAGAGGGTGGAGGAATGGATACGAAGGTATAGAGAGAAGCCGACGGGACTGGGCACGGTGAGCAGGATTGGTAAAGGGTTGGGTGCGTGGCTGAATCAGCGGAATCGGTTGGTGAAGAGTATGGATGCAGGCAAAGAAGGGGTTATGGTGTGTGAGCATGGAGCGTGTAGAGAGGAGTTGAGTATGGACATGGGGAGTGTGGGAGATGCTATTCCTGCTTTATGATGATAATTTGGAAGCTAGGCAGTGCGTACTGGGAAAGATGATAATGGCTCGAAAGGTACGGAATGTATAAATGATTTTAGTCTAGTAAGCTCCAAGCAACAGCATTTTTTACCACGTCTGATATAGTTCGAAACAAGACAGCTGAATTACAACTCGTGGAAAACTTAGGCAACTATTGTCGTTGCCTGGACGTTCTAGGCTGGAGACTAGCACCAGGCTACACTAGCACCATGCGCGTAAATATATAGTTGCGGTGAGCCCTCGACCAACATTCCTCACCACACACCGTCCGTACAGCATGGCACAGCTACTCGATCTACCACTAGAGATACTGCGTGAGATTCTCTTTCATGCAGTCAATGTCCGAGGCCTCAAGCGCGGCCTAAGACTACGGGTTGTAAATAGTAAGTTTCACGTCGAGCATCAAATGGCGGGGATGCATGCATACCGTACATCGCTAACATACGCCTAGAACTCTTCTCACAGGAAGTCACGCAGGTGCTCTTCGCTTCGACTATCCCCGATGAACACATTGCGAAAAACGATAGTCAAGAGCTCAACGGGCCGGAATACGATGCATTCATGCAAGCGTACCTGACCAGTAGAATCATGTCACGCAAAAGTCCAGTCCCACGTTTGTTTGAATTCGTGTACAAAGTCGCCGAGCGTCTTTGCGAAGTAACAGGCGATCGGAACAAGAGAGCTTTGCGAAGGTACGTCCACGACCTATGCTACTGGCCGTGGTATATGTTTCAGGGTACGCCCTTCACGTGTTCTGATCCGCTTCCCCGGGATGAGCCGAAGCTTCTTCTTCGGGCGGGAATCATCACCAACTGCACAGTCGTTGTCGAGAGTGTGATGGCAGAAGCAGACTTTGCTACCATTTTTGCGCCGCGATGCGTGCTGGGAGAATTCGAGCCGTGGCAGAGTGCTGTATATCTTGCGGCTGAACGTGGGAACATGGACATGTTGGAAAAAATCTTTTTAGACAACCGCCTGGATACAAGGGAGACAAGGGAAGTAGCCATTGGCGCTGCAATAAGAAAAGGAAATCTGCCACTTGTCGAGTTCATCATGGACGCCCGCTGGGGTCCCCCCGACTTCTTTTCGAGCGCGCTTTGCGTGGAAGAAAATTTGAAGCCGGGAACTTTGGCGAGTCCACTGGCGGACTTTGTCTCTCGACTTTTCGCTCTGTTCGCATCCTACACGTCGACGGGATATCCCATTGAGATTCATCCACCGGATGATTACCGTATCTTGTGCTATGCCGCGTTCCATAAGCCCCAGCGCGCTGATGTAGTGGAATGGGTACTGGACCACGGCACTTTGGAATTTCGAGAACTTGTAAACGTGCATCTCTCTCGGCCCTGGAACGTGCTTTTCCAAGCAGTCAGCTGCGGAAATGAGCAGATTGTACGTCTATTGCTAGAGCGCTGCGAAGGCGCCAGACCCATACGCGTTGATGTTTTGGTGGCCGCTGTGAAACTGGGCCGGCTCGACATTGTCCAGATTTTGGTCAGCTACGGCGCGGACGTCAAAGTAGAGACGGAGAGTGCGGGCTACGGGAGTCCCATGCCCCTCACGAGGTTCGCGGTCAGGACGGAAAACGAGGAATTGTGTAGATATCTAATTGCTCATGGCGCTGCGTGTGACAACCGTGCCTTGATGGAAGCGCTCGGGCAAGGATTGGCGACCATGGCCCGATTTATGCTAGAAAATGGTGCTCAGCCAAAAGACAGAGACTCGATGGAGGCCTTGGCTAGGAGGACGTTGGACTATTCTGAGATGGAGCAGTTTCTACAAGTAGCCCTGGAGAACCGTACCTCGCAGCCGTAAATAGGGTCAGTCAAGAGCGGTGTCTGTCTTGTCTTGTAAGGCTCGTAACGATAAAGCAATTGGATCCGGCTTTCTAGATCAATCATCTCAACACAGACGCAAAACTATCCCCCAGGGAATCGTGAGCGATCGAGCACATACGATCTGATCTGACCAAGCAGGCCCCAACATAGCCGAGCAGCGCTACAAACCAACAAATTTCCCATGAGCTACGCGAAATATGTCGAAACCATCATAATATCCATCTGTCTCCCAAGTATCCCGTGTCTCTAACTGCAGGCAAAGCACCGCTAACTAATCAGGCTTCAGTTAGATGACGGCCTCGAAATTCCCAGCCGTCCTCGCATAACCGAACCCGAGCAGCAGCAACACTTAAATTCCCAACGCTTCCCGTCCGCCTGCTAGGCCTAATCCACACCCGCTACTCCTTCCCTTCCCGTCTTTTCTAATTTCCACAATACAAAAACCTTGATGAGAATTCAATAAACAAACCTAGATGTGTTTTACTCCTAGTGTGTCATCAAATCAAATCAAATCAACATTCACATGTGAACGGGAAAAAAACTTTAAAACTTTTCTAGTGTCTAGTTCAGAAGCTTATTACATACAACAAACTGCAGAAAAACACACAGTCAAATCAAGTTATTAAACCTCTTTCACATGCACATGTGTCTATCGATCCAAACCGCCATCCCAACACCATCACCCAACAACCCGTATTCACAACCAACTCATTCCACAATTAATAATCCCCCGTAACAGGCAACCGCTAACAAGGAAAACCAGTGTTTCAATATTTCCCATGTTTCACGTTTCATCAGCAGGCAACGTAACGGGGGCCAATGCATGGTGGGTCCTACTAGCTAGCGCACGGTGTTTCAGCGACAGGAGCGCGCAGATCCCTGTTGTCGATCCAAGGGAAAAAAGGGTGGGGAACGGTCAAATTGACCGGGAAGGGGGGTTAGGGGGGGCCATGATGGCCACGGCTCGTGTGCCGCGCATGGATGGATGAGATTGCTTTGATGACGATGTTGGGTAGGAGAAGCTCGTGTGACTCAGACTGCAACCAACGGGAAACGATACATGATCGACATGGCACAGCATTGTAGATCTGAAGAGGGACGTGTTTGAGAGTTTGAACATCTTAATTTCTGCAGTTGGGTTGGACAGGTGTGCGTCACTTTGCGAGTGGGCGCGCGTTCCTGTCCGTTTTCCTGCATCCGTGTGCAAATAGCCGGCCCGTATCCGGCTGTTCTCCTCGCAGCCTCGTAAACCAGCCTCCCCGATAGGTATTTCCTCCACTAGCTGTCAAACGCTGAAAGACGCGTGCTGCCTTGAACGCCCCCTAGGTGGTAGTGGTAAACAAAAATAGTAAGAATAGCCATGAGACATGGCATGTTTCAAGACACCCTCGGCCATGTAACAACATTTCCAAATCCCCATCATCCTCTCATCCCAACATGAACGAAAAAAATATTCGAAATAGAAGTTATGAAAATTGGAGAAACAGAAGAAAAGTGCCATGTCTGGGGTATAACCCTGCGTGCCATATTAGACAGCCGGCGCTTTTACAGAACGTATGAGAACAGGTGCGCTTGGGCTAGGACGGAAGCGCGAATAGAGTTGAAAGTTGGTGGTGACAAACAGCGCTCAAGGGCCTGCTGAAACGATAATGAAACGGATTAGATCAAGCGAGAGTGATGTCTAATAGACATGATCCTACTCCCAAACGCGCCGTAGATTCGATCAAATGAGGTCGGTATTACGAGTGGAATAGATCCCAAGCTCTTGCACACAGTCCAATAAATTCTTCCTTCTTCTTCAATTGCGTCTCGGGGGAGTCCCGGCCCTCTCCAAAAGGTCCAAGGCGTGCTTGCTGGCGGCCTAGCGGAGGGGTTCCGTTGTCTTGCTCATACTCATCGCGGCCACGTCTCCTTGTGCTACCACTGCGGTGAAGATCCGTGTGCGATGGGTAGGCGGATGACCCGTTCTTGTTGGGCATGGGCGATGGTGGCGTCGGCGGCTGGTGACCACCATAGTGGACTAGGCGGGGCAGAAGATCCTCACGGCCACCAGAAAGCAACTGAACAGCTTCCTCAGCGGACTTGTATTCCCGGGGTCTTGAGGTCAGCGGCGGCTGGGGCTGATATTGCTGAGGTGGGAAACTAGGCGAGGGCAGGGGAGGCTGGACATTCGAATGCGAGGAGTGGCCTGGGCTGCCGTTGTGGAAGATGTTCCGGGCGGTTCCTAGGGGCTCTGGGAAGACATCCGAAATTGGGGGTAATCGATTGTTTGTTTGCTGTGCCGGCAAGTGGTGGATATGTGACGTTTGCGACAGATTTGACGGGCCATTGGCGAGCTGTCGTGTTGGTGGAGCATTTCCACGTAGGCCAGTAAAGGTTTGGTTGATTGGCGCTGACTGGATGACGCGGTCACTGGCAAACTGCTGGTGTGAAGGAGGTGCAATGGAGAGTCCTGGTGGTGGGCCCTTCCTGCGTGACGTCTGCGGGGTCTTGATGGTTCGACCAAAGGCTCCAATCTCGGTGCTTCGTACGTCCTCCATGTCGGACGGGCCTCCCTTGCCATGCTTCTGGCGCGCTTCGATGATTTGTCTTTGTCTCTCTCTTACGTCGAGGCTACGCTGGAGCTGCTCGCGCATCGTGGGGTCTTGGGTGTGGAAGCCGGGTGACAGACAGGCGAGGCCCATGTCTTGCAGATTCGCGCTACTCTGTCCAGAGGGACGAGCGGTGAGGGCGCCCGACGAGTGGATGATGTTGTGGTTGTTGGAGAGGTTGAGTCGCTGGGGGCGATGGCGGGTGGTGGAAGGCATGTCTGGCGAGACAGGCTCCTTCTTGACGACTATTCGGGGTGCGGGGCCGCGAGACCTGCTTGACGAAGGGCGGTTAGACATGGCATCTCGTGTGGGAGGAGACATGGAGGAGTAGGTGGGAGAAGAAGAGGTAGAAGGCAGGCGACAGGACTCTGAAGAGCGAGAAGAAGGGCTAAAGGACGTACGAGAGAGGTGAGCGCTTGCCCTCTGCTCTTTGCTGTGCAGCATCACTACTGGAGGAAGTAGGTGAAGCATTGTCGGCAGGCAGCTTGGAGGCGCGAGAGTTTGGCGTCACGGCGTGGGGAGAAGAAGTCGAGGGCGCAATGGGGGCATATGTTCTTGAGGAGCCCAGGCGGTCGGCAGAGGAGGGCGTTGGCTGGTGCTGGGCAGGGATCTGGGGATTGGCGACAACGGTGGTCATGGTCGCGAGGCGGTATGAGGGAGGGGCAGGGCAGATTGTAGGAGCGTTGGCAGGGTCTTGTAGGAAGTCCGCTACACTACGTGTCGAAGGATGTGCGCTCAGCCAGGGCAGATCAGAGGCTGGTGCAACACGGGCGTCGGAGCAAACTGCCAGGCGGGGAAAGCAGTGCAATGCGAAGCAGGGACTGTGCCGCTACGACGTTTGTATGACTGCGGGCGAGGCGGAGTATTCGATAGGTAATGAGGGAGGGAGGGAGAGAGAGAGAGAGAGAAGAAGTGGGCGTTGACGAGGAGGAGAGGAGGGCGCAGGAATAGTAACAACTAACAGCGAACAGCTAACAGCAATAGTAGCAGTAGTAGCAAGTAAGTCAGTCAGTCAGTCAGTCAGTCAGTCAGCCAGCCAGCCAGTCGTGCGCGGGTGCGGAGGGGATAAAAATGACGAGCACGGACGGACGCGCTCCAAGAGCAGAGGCGCGCGATGGATGAAGCGATGGAGCGATGGAGCAATGGAGCGATAGAGCAATAGGAGACGTTAAGCACCACCCCAATAGTAAGGTATTTACTACCCCTTTAAGGCTTGCTTGTTATTAGTCCTACGCTATTATTGCACTATTAAAATAGTAGTAGTTTTAGTAGCAAATTAATAAACTAAAAGTACTTAAAAACTATAATAAAGCTTATATTATATATTAAATAATTAATAATCTAGTATTAATAATAAAGTTATAGTTTTAAAGCTTGCGCGCAGTTAATATAATTTATTACTTATAGTTTATTTTTTATACTATTTAGTAGGCTATACACTTATTTTTAATAATAATTTTACTCTTAATAATATTATTATTTTTACTACTATTATTATTATTATTATTTTTATTACTATTACTACTGCGCAGCGTAGTGTTATATAATTTAGTTTAAATTTTATTATTATTTTTAAATAATAATTTTAAAATTAATAATTTACTATAGTAGGCTATAGTATTTTTATTTAACGCAGAATTATTGCTTAAAAAGCTTAATAAAAGCTTATTAAGTAATAGCAATATTAACGCTAGTAGTAAAATTATTATTAAAAAAAGTAAGTAGCTAGCTTAACATTGCAATTATAATTATATGCTATATTACTATTATTATAGTAAACTATATAATAAATTTATTAATAGTATAAACTATAACTTTACTTACTTATAAGATAAATTTAATTATAATTATAATTATTTACTACTATTAGAGCGCTTTTACGCTAGCTTTAATAATATTATTAATATTATTAAATAGTAAGTAAAAAACTATAAATTATTATATAATAAATAGAAATAGGCGTATAATTAACAAAATTAGCTATTAATAATATGCAATAAATAAAGCAAATACTATAATTATTATTATATTAGTAAAAAGTAAAAGTACTCTAAAGCAGCATTATTAAAAAGTAATTATTAAATATAATTTTACTTTTTTGCAAAAAATAATCGCAGCCTAAAGAATTAATAAAAAGTTAAATAATATAAAAATAAAGCTAGTATTACTTATAATTACTTTTTAAAAAAAAATATAATAATAATTACGTTATATTAGCAGGCAACTTAAACTAATAAAGTAAAATAGTATTTTTAAAAGCTATAGCTGCGCGTTTGCAGCGTAAAATAAGCACTATTATTAATTTAAAATATTTTTTTAAATGCTAAATTTACTTACTAAAATATTATTAATAAATACTATTTATAGTAATATTAAGAAATAGGCGCGCGGACAAAAGTAAAAGTATTAGTAAAAAAATTAAAAGCTAAAAAGTACTAGTATTAATAAATTAATTTTATAATAAATTTATAGTATTAAAGTTTAAAATTTTATATATAAGCTTATTTTAGATTTGTACTAACAAACTTTGCAATATTAAATATATAATTAATAGTAATAACTATTTTAATTTTTTTGCATTTATTTATTTTATATACTTTTAACTATTTAAAAGCTTTTTAAACGCTTTTATAGTTAACTATACTTTTAAAATAAATTAATATAATTACTTACTTTTTAATTTAGTTAGTTTAAATAGTAATAATTAAACTATATACTTTAGTATTGTACTAATAAAGTACAAAAATAAAGCAGCTTTTATTTAAGTATTAATATAGTTAAAAAAGCTATTTAAAGTTAAAAATATTATAGTATAGTTTTAAGTAATAAATAATAATCTAGCATTTATTAATATATTAAAAAAAGTATTTAAATATTTTTGCATTTTTATATACTACTAGTATATAAATAAAAATATTTAATTATATTTAAAAACTGCTCTACTAACTAAGTTTAGTTAGTAGCAAAAAAGTTAAACTTAAGTTAATAATAATAATATAAAAAAATTTATAAATTTTTATATTAAGCTAATTAACTTACTAATAATTACTAATTATAAAGCTAACTTAGCAGTAGTTAAAGCATCTTTAAACTAAGCTATAGCCTACTTTTAAAAATATTAGCTAGCTTGCTATATAAAAAAACTAATAAACTACTTTATTAATATTAATTTATATTTTAGTTTTACTAAGACTAGCAAAGTTAAAAGCGCCTATTATATTATTAAAAACTAGCTTACTAGCAGCTAGGCTAATATTTTATAATTATTCTACTATTTTTATATATTTTATTATAAGTATATTACTTATATATTACTTTTAAATGTATAGAGCAATTCTAAACTCTGCTATAATTACTAGTATTTAATTTATATAAGCGTATTTTATTAAGTAATATAGTACGCTTTAGCTTTTATTATTAAATAAATAGCATACGCTTGTAATAAGTTCTAATAGCATTAATAAAATTTTAATTATAAGCTAATTATTTATAAAAATTAGTATATATTATTATATAAGCTGCTTTATTAGCACTAACTATTTAAGCTGCTAAAAAAGTTAGCTATATTCTAAGTAAGCAATTACTATTAATATTAATAAATTAATTAATTGCAAGTTTTATAGCTTAAGCTAAACAAAATATTATTTAAACTATATTTAATTTTAATTTATAAGCAAGCTATAGGCTGCTAGCAAGGCACTAATAAGCATAATAACTATTATAAGCCTAGCCTATTTAAGTATTTTAATAATAATAATATTATAATAATATTATTATTATTTTTACTAGCTTAAATAGCGCAGTAAACTATAGTACTAGCTAAAAATTTTATAGTATAATAGCCTAGTATAGCTATAATAACGCTATTAACTATACTAATACTACTATTATTATACTACTAACTTTAACTGCAACTATAATAATTATTATTTTAATAATTATTATAGCTGCTATTTTAATTATTACTGCAATTATAGTATCTAGCCAACAGTTGCTTTATTTATAGCTAAAATTATATTATACTATAGTAATTGCTAGCGCAATACTATAGTTTATATAAGCTTTACTAGCTAGCTTTATAGCTATTATTAGTACTAATAATATTTTATTAATTACTACTTTACTTTTACGCAGTACTACTAACTTATAATATATAACTAGTTTTAACTATAATAAGTTTTTTACTATTTTAATATACTTTAAATTATTATATAAATAATAGTTATAATTAACCTGTAGAAAATAATAACTTTAAATTTAGTATACTAAGCAGGCAATATAGTTAAGCAGGCAGATTAATTTTATATAATACTAATAATAAATAATAATTAATAATCGCGATTAACTGCAAAGTATAAAATTATATATTTTATTATATTTAATATACTGCGCTATACTTGTTTTATTTGCAATAATATAATAATTTATATATAAACTAAAATACTAAAAAATTACGCGGCATGCTTTAGCTGCATAAATTTATACTAGTTTTAGTAATAGGGGTGGTAAATACCTTACTATCGGGGTGGTGCTTAACGTCTCCCTAGAGCAATGGAGCATCCTTGGATTGGAGCCAGGGTGTCGCTGTCGCTCAGACACAGCGGCTGGCATGCTTGGGGCGAGCAGATGGGACCTGTCGTCTGCGACGCCACGGGCCAACCATTGTTTCGAATCCACACCTCCATCCAGGGTATGCTATACACGGTACACGGTACACGCACGGCACGCTGTGCCCTTGAAGAAGAAGCTTGACTCACTTCTCACTCACACACTGACTTCACAGCTGGTGCCAAAGTCTTCCTAGTCTTCCATCCATCCAGTAACCACAACTCACCACCCACTCGCCAATGCTGGATGAAGCTGACCAACTCTCTCTCTCTCTCAGCTGCGTCTAACCCAGCGACATGACTGGACGCCCCCGTCTGTCTGCAGCGCGTTGCACCTCCATTGCCAATACTTGCCGCCGTCCAATCACTGCTGGCCTTGCTGATGCTCGCCCGTCCGCCACTAAACGAGCGTCCCAGTGTTTCACCCCGGCGCATCACATGTTTGATCTCGCTCAAATGGGCTGCAATCGACGCCTCGCTCGAAACAAGACTAAACACTCCAACACTGACTAACGACGGTTCCATTGTCGGATAATTGGACAGGGACGCCGTTCATGGACTGGCGTTTCAGCCCTCTGCTGCCTTCGAGGCAGACCCGCTTGCTCGCTCGCTAGCTGATCGGACCACATCGACTCCCTTGAAGCCCGACTGGGGCGTGGTGCAAGGGCTGCCTAGTTTTCTCACCCAAACTTCATTCAACCAACATGGGGGGCTGCACTGGCTCGAGATTCATCCGCACGTGGGTTGCCAACCCTCGCCTGGTCTTGGGTAAACGGCATCTGAGTAAGAATAGAGCGGCATGACATGAGATAGATTAACAAGCTAGCCTACTCCCGCGTCTCTTCCAGCGTTTGACTCCACCGCTCTCTCACTTTAAAGACTGCGAACCCCAGTACGCACCTCTAGCTACAAGCCAAATTTTACCCTGAAACGAAGACCATCTCCGTCGCCACAAACAACACCTTTACAGTCCGCTCTGATTCGCATGCATGAGCGGATGCCTAACTCACCCTGACTGTTAGCTCCACCGCCGTTTGGAATCTTCATTGCACTTGAGTATGGCATTCTTCATCCTGGACCTGTCGTTTTGCCTGACCCTGGGAACCATATCACGGCCGTCTTATAACCCCGGGTAGCGCCACTCCGCCACAAATTTTCTGCCGTTTCTTCCAGACACGAGCATCGTCTCTGCTTATCCGCACTACGGACTTCCAACACGTTGTTCGAGACATGAGGTAAGCTCGAGCACCACCTTAGGACCCTGATCACTTGTCACAAGACCCATCATTCGCCATCACATCCAGGCACATCACCTCAGACCTTCATCTCGCAATACGAGCAAACATTCGTCGTCAAAGCAAACTTCCTGCTTATCAACCACTCTATACCTTCGCTTCTGCTCGCCTGGCACAATCTCACGGATAGCTTTTACATGTCTTGTATTCTCCCGGACTCCCAGTCAATACGTCGATCAGGTACGCTGGCCGCGCATAAATCTGGGTAATTACAAATTCCCAAAACGGCCAAAACACTGGTCTCGCCTCTTCAATATGCAACAGCTGGAATCTTAGCACTCGATTTGCATCCAACCGAGCGACGCGGGACAGGGCTTTGATGGAACTAATGTCCGAAGCAGAAACTGGTGGTTTACCGAATTCTATTTTGAGCAGCTATTGTATTGCTTGTAGTCGACGGCGCACCTTATTAGCTTCTTAGCATAGGGTGGCAGCATCTTGAGGTTGGGAAAGAGAAGTGCTACAACTTTCCAAATGAGCGTCTCATGTTGAGGCTCTTGGTATGTTGCCAAGCCACGAAGGAAGCTGCGCGATGCCGAACTCTCTAAGTGAGCCTGCGCAACTGTCTGTGGTAGCGGGGTCATATCTGAGTATCTACGTTTAGGTGATTTCTTATCTACATGATGCTGCTGATATTATAATCTGTGCAAGGCCATCTCAACACCCTCTAGCCATTCTCCCCACAACCGCACAAACCTGATACCTCGACCGCAAAAACCATCAAGATCACTACTCTACTCGTCCAAGCTCTTCGTCTTCCCACGGTACCGCATCACCTACACATACACACTCGCCCAAACCACGCATATCCCCAAAAAAATTCCCATGTGACACAAGCTGCAGTGCAACACTCTACTACTATTGGGTCCCACACACGTTGAATTCATGCACTTGCCGTGCGTGCCCTCGACGTCCGAGGAGCCGTTTCAAGCCGCGCGCAGCCCAGTCCCGCCATCAGCCTGTCCTTCTGTCGCACCAATACTGCTTCTTTACTCCCGCACGTCACACACACTTGGCTTTCGAGGGACATGCGTCTCGATGGATTCGGCTGCGACGGCATATCAATGGATGTAATAGGGTTCTGGCTCCAACCTGTTTAGGTAGGCTTTGGGTTATGCATCGTGTGCGTATTTTATCGTGACGGATTATTGTAGGTAGGTACTTCTTATAGAATTGCATGTTCAGTCTCTCTCTCTCTCTCTCTCTCTCTCACACACACACACACACACACATCTGGACTCTCTCGCTCTCGCGCTCTCTCTCTCTTACGTCCACACCCCGTGCACACACACACACGCTACCACGTCCGACTCCAGCCACAGCATCGGAGGTTTTCCTAAAACGGGTGCCCTGTCGTGCAACGCTGCCGCGCACCATGAACACGTAGTCCGAGTGGAGAGGTTCTTGTACGCAATAGGAGCACAACAGTTCTCCTGCATCATCGCCCGACGCCCAATGCGAAGAGGTGGTGTCGAGTCTGACGGTTGGGCGTGGTGCAGGGAAAAAAAGGCATACAGTACCAGTTTTGCTGTGGAACGAGCGTGAAGCTCTTGCTTGATTGATTCAGTGGACGCTAGATAATGGATAGGAGTAGAGGGATATGTTGTGGGTTGGCTTGGAGGAAGGGAAAGAGAGGTTGCGATGCACTGTATCCTATATACTAGTATTTGTCTACCCTTAATCATACTTCATGTCCTGACAGCTACATACACATACACACACACACACACATCATGAAAATGCTTTACGTTGACACCTCCCCCCTTTCGTCATACTTACTAGACTATCCCTTACCAAGGCCGCGCTTAAATACATAAAGCATTCAAAGCTTCTTCAACCTAAACCAAATAACACGCAGCCTCATCCAATTAAGCAACTACTTTCCCACTCGCCCAAACAACAACCCGCGTCACGTTGCATTACGTTGCATTCCGCTACTGTGGCGCGAGAAGGGTTTCCTGCCTAGATCTCTTTCGTGCTGCGTTGCACCACTAGACTAGACCTAGTCATGGGAACACGCGAGAACGTGAACACCCAGTCGTTTGTGTTACACTAGCTGGATGATTGGTTGTTGTATTGTACTAAGCGTTAGCGAGTTAAAAAGGGACCACATGCGTGTACATGATCAAGTACTTAGGCGTTGGAGGTAGGTTGGTCTGAGGTACGAGGAGCTATGCTTAGTGTGGAGATTGATAGACAGGAAGATATGTAGGATGTAGTATATTTAAGATGATAATTTGCAAAGATACATGATGATACAAATTTGTAGTTATAGAACACGATGGAAATAGATTAGAATATTATACCCTTTTCATGTGCGAAGTAAAATCATTTCAAGCCCGAAACGCCGTCGCAAGTCGAATATCCATAAAGCATCATCTCCAATGCAAATTTTAACCAAGTGCGAAGCGTCATCGGGCCTAAGCGCGAAGCGTGCCGTAGTCATCGTTCCTCAGCCCATTGGGCACTTCCTGCAGACTGAACTTCTTGAAGTCCTTGGTGAAGTCGTTGACCTTCTTGCTCACACCGTCCGCACTCTTGCCATCTTTGGTCTTGTTGAAGGACTCGGGACGTTTGGACTCGGCAGTAGGCGACTCGACAACCGTATCCTCAGAGTCATCGGCGTCTGCGCCCTCGCCCTCGCCCTCTGCACCCTCAATCTCTTGCTCTGCCTCTTGGTCGAGCTTCTCTGTCTCTTGCTCAACATCAACAAGTTCTTCCCCTTCACTTGGGTCTTCTCTCGCATCCGGGACAACGTCTTCCTCGAGCCTCCAGTCTTGGATGGCTCGGATGATGTCGACGGCGAGTTGACCGTTCTTGCGCAGTGCTTTGTCCCAGTGTGCTGGGATGCCCTTCTCGAGCACCATGAGGCGCGCAACCGAGTGGACGAGCATGTGGCGCATTGGCGAGCCCTCTTCGGTGTTGGCGTAGATGTATTGGACGCGGCGTAGGCCGGGGTATGTGTCGCTGTACTTGTACCATTCACGGACGACCTGTAGGACGTCGGCGATGAGAGATGGGATCTCGAACTTCTCGGCCATTAGGTAGAGGTCAAAGGCCACTCCCAAATCAGCCTCCTCACGCGGTACGGGCAGAGAGGAGCTGTACAGCCAGCCGACAAACGTCTTGAATGGCGCATCTTCCTCGTCGGGTAGGCCGAACGATTGCGTCTTGTTATGCGCAGACGTCTTGGAGTAGAAGATCTTGCGGAAGAAGGGTGAGTGATGGCAGAGGAGCTTTTCATGAAGGATCCAGTGTGTGTTTTCAGTGCCAACGTAGATGTCGACCATGGAACGAGTGAGGAGCCTAGAGACACGGTGTTAATAATACCGACGAGGTAGCGATGGTAGACGAACGTACTCATTGAGCGGCTTCTCCTGTGTGGAGCCCGACATGACGAAGATGGTGTGTGGTGGAGGTCGACTTTTGCGACTATGGTGAACTAGGACTAGGTGACGTTAAAACCCGTCAACCGAACTGTCAAGGATGTAAAACGGCGGGCGATCGACAACAAAACGGTCTCGAAAGTGCGAAAAAAGATAGAAACTGGGGTGAGAGCAAGATGCGAAAGTTGGGATGTGGCAGTGCCAGCTCTTAAGCACCAGACAGGAGGCTGGGACAGCTGGGACAGAGTTGGTGGTGAATGACGTAGGCATTGACGAAGTGGACATGTGCAGCGGCACGTTTCCTTGGTGGACACCCCTGTCCCGTCGCACCCCCCCGCCTAGTTCGCCCGCCATCAAGGATGACGGAGATCAGGACGGCCAATGTGCATGCGATTGTGCATGCGCTATGCGAATTGGCGCTTTCTGGTCATTTCGGGAGCGTAGCGATGATGAGATTGTGCTAGAAAGGGAAATGTGGGCTGAGGGGCCCAAGGCTAGAATTACGGAAAGTTCGGCACGCGGAGGCTGGACAAGCCCTGCATGGAAAAAGCAAATCGACAGACAGGACAATGGAAATATTCTGTGTAGCAGTGATGACTGTAGACTGAAGATTCTCGCTGTCTGGTCTTTCTGATGGGTATCTACGCTGCTGCAACGACCATGTTGCTTCATCAAAGTTAGATTAATTTCTGCACTTCCTTTCGCCCTCATGCGGTACGCCGCTCGTCGGGCATGTTCTTCCGTTCCTTTGCAGTGACCTTCTTGCGACGGCGTTCTATGACATGGTCGCGCTGTTTTGACTTCATGTTCTGGAAGCGGTCGACCAGTGCGATCTTCTTTTGCTCGGCTACAGCTAGTGTTAGCGCACCATGTTACGAAACACGCCGCACGGCGCCAGATGACGGGCGGATACGTACACTTCTTCAAGTAGAAAGGCTGCTTGCCCTCCTTGATGAGCTCTTTTTCCTTCTTCTTGTGATCGCGAACCACGTTCTGTTGCTCCTCTTTCCGTTTCCGAGTGTGTTCCTGGGACTCCATCGAGAGTAACTTCTTCTTTAGCTTCTCTTTCTCGGCCTCATTCTTCGTCTTCTTAATAGTAGACCGCAAGTCTGCAATCTCCGAGACTCGGTAGTCGTTTAGGAAGGAATAGCGCTTGTCGACTGTATGCTCATCAGGTCGGGGTCCAGATACATTCTCGAAGCGTGGATCTCGAAACACTGGCTTCTTGACATCCACAACTTTGCGTTTGCGCGAGACCATTCGCTTGCTCGATTGCACGGCGGGCGCATGCTTGCTGGATCGCGCTTTTGGAGCCTCGTCTGAATCCGAGCCGTCGTTGCTATCCTCTTGCTTTTCTTCCTCGCTATCTTCGTCTTGGATGACCTTGTTCTTTTTGGAAGACTTCGCCTTCTTGCTGGGCTGGGCTCCGTTTGCGAGCTTCTCGGCCTTGATCTGCCTCAGTCTTTCCCTCAAAGCCTCCAACTTGTCCTCCTGCGACTTTGAAGACTCGTCGCCGCGCTTTCGCTTTCGGTTCGCAGATGGGTCTTTCGAGAGTGCGTCCTGGGCTTTGGCTAGAGCTCCAAATGAGACCTTGCTCATCTGCGCTTGCACCTTGTGGTCGTCAGATGCGTCTGACTTGTCCATGTTAGCAACTCTACGTGTCAATTGACATGCTCCTCGCAACGCGCACCATTTCCTCATCTTCGGATCCCTCAGCTGCCTCGTTGTCTGAGCTCATGACTTCCCCACCCTCACCAGTCTCGATGAAAGACTCGGAGGAGGATCGGTCTGTGACTTCGTAGTATTCTTCGCCATCTGAGCTTTCTTCTACGGCGCGCAGCTTGCGATCAAGCTTGGTGGAAAGTGGCATGATTTGGTGCCGAGATCACGCAGCAGCTAAGAGTGGATTGCAGCTTCTGTAGGACGGGTCCAACTGGAGGCACACTGCGCTGTACTAATCGTGGCTCGATGACGGTATTTGCGCGTCGTATAGACGTTTAGTGGTTGGTGGTGATGCCCTGGAACTTTTCTGGACGACCCCACAACTTGCGGCGCTATTTTTTGCCGATGGCTGACATAAACTCAAGCAACGGACTACGCCTATCTCGCCTTCTTTCACTGTTGCCTACAAGGTGTTGATGCTACAATTTTCTCCTCTTCCCTTCACCTTCTCTTTCACACGAAATACAGCTCTTCTCATCGGGCACGTACCGCTTTCCCACGTGCTCCATGGCTGCAGTCGCGTCAGCTCGGTACAGCATCCCCCACGACGCTCCAGTCACAACTTCTTCCACTAACCTTGACAAGACCACTGCCGGTCGTCGAGACAGCACTTCGCCTGGGCAAACAATACACGAAGATTCAGCTGCCAATATGAACAACAACCTGAATGCGCAGGCGCTGCCTTTCAGGCCCGGCGGGCAGGATGACCGTCGTCGCGAACAGAACTACACTGGTTTCGAAAACCAGCTGCCAGCACCGCCGCCATTTCCACCAGGACCAGCCAGCGCGCCATGGAACGCAAACTATCCGCCACCGCCGCCGCAGTTCTACAACAGCATCAACCATAACCAGCAAACAAATCAGCAATCATACAACGACTATGCTGCGCAAGCACAGGCACAGGCACAGGCACAGCAAGCCTACTACCATCAGTTCATGCCGCAGTATCCAGGAGGCTTTCAGTACGGTCAACAGCCATACAGGCCTCAACAACCCTACTACGGTGCATTTGGGCAGCAAAACCAGCGCGCGTATTCGAACCAGGCATACCACCACTCCACCATGCAGGCGCAGGCGCATCACCCTTATGGTGCGACGAATGAGGACCTACAGTATGCATTTGATACCCTGATCAAGGGTCTGAAGTCCAAATACAGTCAGACTAACTCCCGCAACAGGACCTCTACTCCCCCACTCAGGAATACTAGGTCTGGGGCCGCTTTCGACGGTCAAGTCAAGCAGAAAGAGTATAGCTCCCTTCACCGCGTTACTCTGCACCATACCATGGATTCGAGGGTTAACAAATTCTACAGTACTCCAAAACTGCCCAAGGGCCCGACAGCATCATCGAAGAAAGGCCGGTATGGTGATGAGAAGATTATGCTCCCCGCCCCGCAGCCTACGCCAGAGTATCTGAGCCAAGCCGCCGAGGAGCCATCCGTTATCGATCCACCAGGCCGTGTATTAGTCATCCTTGACCTCAATGGTACGGTCCTTTATCGACCCAACAGGAATGCAAAGACAATGATCGAGCGCCCGTTCCTCAAACCGTTCCTGCGCTACTTATTCCAGAACTTCTCGGTCATGGTCTGGTCCAGCGCCAAACCCGACAACGTCAAGTCGCTCGTAACGCAGTCGCTGGACAAGGATCTCCAATCGAAGCTCGTAGCTCGGTGGGCTCGCGACTCCTTCGGGTTGTCGCCGACCAACTATACCCAGAACGTCCAAGTATACAAGAACCTCAGATTGATTTGGAGTAGGGACGTGATCCAGCAACATCATCCAGAGTATGCGGCTGGCAAGCGCTTCGGTCAACACAACACTGTTCTTATCGACGACTCTGCTATCAAGGCCAGTGCTCAGCCACATAATCTTCTCGAGATTCCAGAATTCGCAGCTACACCGGAGCAAATGGAGGGCGACGTCTTGCGCGAGGTCGCTGGCTACTTGGAGTTGCTACGACATCAAGCAGACGTCTCTCAGTTCATCAGCAAGGAACCGTTCAAGGATGATGGCCGTTGGAGTTTCCAGTGGCCTGACGAAGCATCTGGCGGCGGTGAGATGAAGAGCAAGGCCTCGGCGAAGGGGAAGAAGCAGAAAGCGAAAGCTGCTGGTGGAGCTGAGAGCAAGTTTTCGCTCAAGATGTACAACGAAGCCAAGGATGCTGACACAAACGGCGCGAATGTAGACACATCCGCCGAGCGTTTGTCTGAGACGATCGACTCCCTCTCATCTGTTTCGTTGGTAGCTTCTGCTCAGAAGGATTGGTAGATACTATGCTTCCAGCCAAGGCACAGGCGCAAGCCTACCATCGGTTAATACCGCAGCCAAGAGGCTTTCAACCATATGATCAACACCTCAACAGCCATACAGGACTAATAAAGTGGGTGTATGATGATTGGTCATGTGAAGCGTTTCTAGATGTTCAAACGGCCAAAAGGTGCCCTTTTCTTTCAATACCATAGGATGCCACAAGTAGTGCATCACCCAGGATCTCAATGAGGATCTCAATGAACTTGTTACATAGTTCTTTCACCTGCTATTCCTTGTTTTAACTCATTTCAACCCTAACAATGATTTTTCGAGGTCCACTTGACAACCGTCTGTTATTCTACTATATTAGTGCTAGGTCGTTGTATAGACTGCAAAATGCAATCGCTAGATATTCTTAGCTATGGCTCTCTAACGAGAGTGAGAGTAAGGTGGTAGGGATACGGGTTTGTATTCGGAGGCTATAGGTAGAGATGCAAAGTCTTTACTCGCATTACATAGTCACTTCGTTCAACTAATTTTCGAGTCTTAAGGGGGAAAGAACAGTCTGAGTAGAGCATTAGAAATATACTATCCTTCTAAAATTTCATATGCAATGGCGCACATGTTTACATGTTTTGAGCTGGCAACTAGAAACATTGACCACAGGATACCAAAACAGGTACAACGCCATAAAGATAACAGGGTTAAGAGTCCTTCAATATTTACCTTTACTTACTAAGCTCGAAGTGTATCACGAGTAGATAAATTTAGTGATTGATGAACAAGGCGCTTTCTACATCTCACGATGTTGTAGCCCCACTTCCCCATGTGTCTGCCTAGTCCCGTGGAGGCCGGGGCCTTCACCGGAACAAGTACACATCGACTCTCAAACCCTACAAATGCCGCCGCTACGAGGCACCATGGAGGGTGGGGATTGGGTCGTACAACACCTGTGCCTGGCTTTCGGCTGATGACGGGAGCGAGGGAAGCGTCAGATACCTGATTCCACGTTTGCGCATTCGCGCAATGGAGTCGAGTACTTATGACAGCTCTTCAGGCACCCATCAACCTGCTCAGCCTGCCCTCGCCCTTCTGCTTCTAAAGTCTTTAATTGCGCTCTTGTCTGAACTGCGATCAAAAGCAAACGATATTCCGCCTTTGAGCACGTTTGCGCATTCCTAGCCATGGCTTCGAGCGAGTATAGGAAGGCCAATTTACTTAAGCTAGGCACCTCGAAAGTGCCATGTCGGAGGGACTCGCTATCATCTTCAAGGACTCAAGACTCTGGGTACAATAGCGAGTTAGAGGTCTCTCTCTCGCCACGCGATTTTGTGGTTCCTGAGCATGGTTAGCCCCACGCTTCCTCTAAGAGATACAGTCGCTAATAGGAAAGCAGAGATTCTATTCGCATCACTCCCACCTGTGCCAAGTCTTTCCATGATCAGCGAATCATGTCTGTGGAAGAAACACCCAAACTTCATTCCACCACTGTCCCACCAGGCTGGCATTACAAGCAATCCTAGTCCTTGTGGTACTGTGGAAGATCACGGCCTTCACTGGACGGGGGCAGTCAGTGTCCGCCGAGCGAAGGGAGTATCGGACGCTTTGGCTCACATTGTGCCTGCGAATGACCTCTCGTCGGACATAGAGAAGTGGATCAAGGACAACCTTCCGTCTCGACACCAGCCTCAGGAGAGAGTGTCGTCTATAACTTCGCTGTCTTCCACGAGTAGCTGCGAGATGTATACGAATACGGACAGTAGCGATGACGAGCGAGAACCAGAATACGAAACCATGCAACCCTCACGCCCAAAATCTACTCTCAAAGTTATCGAGCTGATAATGCGCAAGATTGAAATCAATATACGCGAGGCGGCTTATAGGCAGTGTACTAGCACTACTCCAAGTAGTCGTGGCGGGGTCGTCTCTCATCAGGGCAGTCGCAAGTCGTCCCAGAGTTCGGGTCAGAAGCGTAAGGCACGCGGGAGCCCACCGCCGGACGACAACGACGACGAAAATGGACCCAACAAGCGGCGCCGTGGATCAGCAGCTACGGTGGCTGATAACTCTGACCCCGGCACCAGATTCGCTTGTCCCTTTTACAAGCATGACCCGGATAGATATAGAAATATACGTACATGCCCGGGCCCTGGTTGGCCAACCGTTCACAGGATGAAGGAGCACTTGTATCGGGCACATTCACAGCCGATCTTTTGCCCGATATGTTACGAAACGTTCAAGTCGGACAAGGAGCAGTTCAACCATGTACGCCTTCAGCAATGCCAAAGATCGGCTCCTCAGCACATTGAAGGGATGGACCGGGAAACGACCTGGGCTCTACGGAAACGCACCACTGCTCTGCGACTGGAAGAAGACAAATGGCGGGATGTCTACCATGTACTGTTCCCAAACGTACTTGTTGCAGATATCCCATCTCCATGTATGTTATTCTGCTGAATCAACTGTGGCATACTAATTAATTCTAGTTTACGATTGCGACTCGCCTAGCGAATCATCACGGCGCTTTCGTCGAGAGCTGCTTCGTCGCGTCCAGGAGGAGCTGCTTATTACTGCTGGACAAGTACCAGGTCCCATAGAGCAGCAGCTTCTTCAAAGGGTGGCGCAGATCATTCGTAGATGCGAAAACGACCTTCTGAACCTACCAGAACCGTCTATCGAGAATGCAATGCTACCAGATCGACTTGCTAATAGTACCTCCACGACAACACCATCAGTGTCCACCGACCCCCACTCGCATACCCACTTTACGGCTATGTCAGCACCTACTTCTCGTTCGATTCCAAGAGCGGCACCATTCAATAGCGCCACTTTGGAAGCGAATCGTTCCAATACTGCTACAATGCAAGTGCGTGCGCGATACATAACGGAGCCAGCAGTCAACATCACACCAGTCGTCTGGGATGAACAGATCTACGATACCTTCGACGACGGTATTGACTGGGATATGGTCTTTATGAGAGAGCCAGAGATTCAACACTCAGGAGGCAATGGCCCTTTGACAGCCTTGGCGACACCTATGTGGACTTGATAAGGAGAGAGATACACAGTCAAATTTCTTTTTGTCCTTATTAGAAACGTTCTTTACAGGGTTTCGGAATAACTTGTTTAGGCTTAATGTGATGAGCGATAGTATATCCTGGTTAGATCTTTTATGCTTAAAGGGTTCGTTATTAAAGCGCGGTGTGAACATTACCAAAGGGTTTTGGCTGGTGTGGTTCCCAATTAATAGCCACTATGTATGCAGGTCTGCCATATCTTAGGCCGGGCGAGGTATTCTTAATGACACCTAAGTATCAACTTACTAGTCACCTTAGAGCAGGCGTGAAGGAATTCAGTATACCTTTAGGAACCAAATGGGATTTGGAGAGTTGCTGAAAGCCTCCTGGGTATTGCATGCCTTACAAGATTAGAAACTTTGGAGGTGGGACATCCACTTCAACGTACCAAATTGTTGCTTGCTTGGTTAAGAATATTGACAGCATAACGTATGCTTTCTCGTACAGGGCTCAAACTTACCTTGCCTGTGGATCCACCATACAGTTTCCGTAGTTCACATTCCCCTCACTGGTACACTGCCATCTAACTTTCATCTAGGCCTTCGGTAAGATGGAGGACTGGACGAGATTTAGAAAGACTACCCACTGCATGATCCGCAATGGGAAGAGGAGAGGAAAGGAAGGGTGAAACAGTATGCTTGGATAAAAGAATAAATTATAGAAGAACTACAAGATGACTTGATTGGGAAAGTCTACATCTACAAGCCAACGCAAGGTTATCGAGCTATTGCAGAGCTATGATGAATGCGAAACCCTCCAGGCTACATTATCGCTCATCACGTTAAGCCCCTAAAATGTGTTGAGGTACATCAGAAGATGTGTAGAGGATCCAGGTCATATACTGATTCTCCACACATCCCGCGTCCGAATCCCCAGATGCAAGTTCCTAACGCCAAACTCCAAACTGATCCATCTCGCCCGTACCTCAACTCCGAACGACGAAGTTAACATCTTATCTGTATATGAACCCTCCTTGTCCTCCTCCTCCACCACCACCGTACCCCATCGGCTGTGGAGCAACGGGCGTAGCATACACTGGTAGCATGCCGAACGGCCTTGGTTGAATTGGGGTTTGAGGACAGCAATTATGCGGTGCTCCAGAAACGAAGGTCGGACAGCAGTTGTGTTGGGGCTGTGCGTATGGCTGAGTATACGGCTGCTGCATCTGCATGATCGGCTGCGGCTGCATGAATCTCTGCTGTTGAACCCGCGGAGCTATCTGCGGTTGCGGTACAAGTCGAGGTTGAGGCGGGCGTTGCTGCGGCATGGGAGGGATAGGTTGCATACTCTGCACAAAAGACGGAAGAGCCGTCGCCATTTTATTATAGTCGACCCATGTGCACTCTGGAAGATTTGAAAAGGCCTTTCCAGTTGTAAGGATGAGGATGTCGGCGTTTGGATGTGAGGGGAAAAGATGCAGACCCTATACGATAATCAGTTCATGCAGAAATACTTTTTTGCATGCAAGAGGGAGGAAGAGCTCACTGCAACACCACTGAAATCACTACACTCCTCCAGGAACTTATTCGTCCCCCTGATCCCCTCTGTGCCTTCCCTTCCATCCCCTTGCTTGCCACATTTTAGATCCCAGCACCCACCTCCTGATACCGTGCGCATGAAATACGCGCCTTCAGCCCCGAGACTGACGAAACTGGGCGCCTCAGCCCCGTTTGCTTTCCACGTCGTCTTCCACGCATCTTGACTCTCAACACGGGCTAGAACGACCTTTTCCAGACTCGGTGGCAAGTTACTCCAAGACGCAGTCGTCTTGTCCCATGCATAGTAAGACTCATAAGGGCCAAGCGTAATGCTGAGGGTGCTGAGGTCCCGGATCACAGCTGGGTGGGAGGCATAAAGGTACTCCGTCAATGGGTTGGGGAGGTTGTAATGTTTGCAGAGTATCTGATCGTCGTGATCTCGGTAGCTGATGAAATAGGTTCCTTTGTCACTCAGTGCTAGTTCAATTACGTCCTTGATGGCGGGCGTTTTGGTGAGGAGAGATTCGATATCTGGGGGGAGATTGTGCCTGCGCCGCACAGTTAGCGGACGGCACTACTCTACACATCTCCACTTCAGCCCTAGAGATTCAACGTAACGTCTTTCAGCAAGCTTTGCTCGGAGAATTACTCCATTGTGCATGTATTGGGCTAGCTAGTGCCGCTTACCCGGGACCCAGGTCATTTGAAAGGCTTGTAGGATTCGCTAAAACGTGTAAGATATAATGGAACTCACCATGCCCAATGTGTAGGTGTGTTGAAGAAGTACGTCTCTTTCGGGCCCATAACGAAGGTTGCGAAGATGGGCATAGTGATCGAGACGTTACCCCGCCGGATACGCTTCGGGTAGACAAGGCTGAGACTTGATGATCGTGGAGCTGTAAGCTGATAGAATAGAACAAAGGTATAGAAGGGTATCGAGGGCAATGAAGAACGCCTATGAACAATGAACGCGTTATTGAAACGAGAGAAGATGCCAGAGGGTTGAGGCTCACACAGGCTGCGGCCACTAGACCTTGACGCTTGAGGCTCAGCTCCCGCCCGTGTTCGCTAAAAATTACCAGAAACGCAGTCAAGCAGAAACGCGCTTGTAAATCACCCGCTGCAGGTGCAAGTTAAGAGAGTGGACCAGCGGGGCTTGCAATGATTGAAATCATGAGCTTCAATTGATAAATGAAGAAGACCAGAGCGGTTCTGGCGCATTTATAATCTGTCCGTAGAGCAGCTTGCATACGCCAGAACACCATACGGAACCCTATGTTTTGGCCATGCCTCGCACATAACCATTGCAGAACCCAACCATTCACATACACATCATACGCAATATTCCGCATGCCATATCCATTGCCTACGCCAACACACCAAATTGTCCTTTCCACCAGCCCAGTCGATTCGAGATCCAATAATATGCTCACTCAGTCCTAGGCGCCCTTAAGTACTCCAACCCCTCTAAAACTCAGTACGCACTCAGCCCAAGGGAAGGAGAACCTACCTATGACCACGGCGACCCGGCAGAGGTGGCGGTACCAGTGGATTACCGTACGCATCGACGTTTAGTGATGTACGGCAGTCGGGACAGTACCATTTGGCGCGGCGAGAGGGAATGTCATTCTCGGTCATGTTGACGCAGGGAAGATGGAACCATTCTTTGTCACACTACAGATAGTTAGCATCATTGTCGTAATGTTGGGAAAGCTGGCTTACGTTATTATCGCATGAAATCATCGGCCCGTAACTAACATCATCGCAGATGCAGTACCTGGGCTCATCGGGATCGATGTCATCTGCCTGTTCCATCTCCTCTTCTGTTTTCTTTTTCCTCTTGTTTTTGCTACCTTGAGCGCGCTTAACGTTTGTAACGGTCTTTTGGCCGTTCTCGGCAGCCGTGACCTCACCCTTCGGTGGTGGCTTCCTACGCGAGCTCATGCGCGTGGCCACCGGCGCGGTGAGCGATGACTGGCTGAAGATACTGTGACGGCGAGTCTCTCGAGTAACTCTACCTACTTCATTCGGTTTTGGCTCTTCGCTCTGTGCCTTGGGCGTCGGGACGTGGCCACGAGCAGAGCGAGGACGTGTGGCAGGAGCGGGCACATCAGCAACCGCATCGGGAGCCGGAGTGGAGGTCTTCACAGATTTGAGCGGCTGTGTAGGAACCACTGGTGGGCTGGTAGCTTTCGGTGCAACAGACTCACGTCGTGGTCGTGATGACGCTGCTGTGACTGTTGGCTGTGGTGGAGCTGGGGTTGGAGCCGGTACTGAAGCAATAGGAGACTGGTTCGTCTCGATTGGCGATGTCACAGCGGGCGTAGGCTGCCGACTCGACTCCTTGGAAGCGGACTTGTTGACTTTAGGGGTGCTTGGACCGGCAGGCGCAAGCGGCACCTGTACGGTGTTTGCGTTTGTGGCAACCTTGAAAGTGTCTGGAAGCGGCACAGGGGTGTTTGAAGCAGGTGAGGCTACAGCCGACGTGGGGAGATCTTTAGGTGTCGAGTACCCTGTGGAAACTGGAGTAGGTGTGGGAGATGTCATCGCGTTGCGTGCAGGGGCGATGAGCTGCAGCCTGGGACGCTTTGCTTCTGGAGGCCTCGTTGCACTATCTTGCGTCTCCACTGAGTCTTCTCTTGTAGCTTCGGCGCCGTCCTCAGCTGTAGCCAGCGGAGATGCGTCGCGTTTCCGTTTGTTTGATGTACGGGTAGTTGGTCTTCTCTTCTGGCTAGCAGGAGTAGAGACAGCGTGGGAACCAAATGTCAGCTCCTTTAGACCGTTTGCGGCTTCTTTGATTTTCTCTGTAGCATGTACAAGCTGCTGCGCATCACGCATGGCCTGCTGACGTTGCGACAGGCGGTCAAGCTTCCTCCCCTCTTTCGCTTCTACTGGTTTGAGGCGGATGCTGACCGGGCCAGACTCCTCCGTCGTGACATCCTTGACAGTATCACTGGGTGGCGCAGGTACGTTGTCTGCAGCGGGACCATGTGGCGCTAGTTGTCCCAACCCTGAGGCGGTCATGATCTGCTGCAGCGTCTCGGGCTCTTCATCGAGAAGCTCTTCGCCTGCACCTTCACAGCGAGCCATCTCCGTTTCGTAGTCTGCTTTTGTACGGTGTTTCCGCTCGAGCTCGCGGTTGACCATGGTGAGGCTGGGGGTCCATACGGCGTTCTTTTTCATCTGTTTTCTGAGTACAGCCATTTCGTACTCGGTCAACTTCATCCATGGCGCCCACTTGCTGCCTGGTCTGGCATCGGGCGGAGGCGGGGCTAGTTGGGCGAGCGCGTTGCTGGTAGATATGCCTGCGATGGAGCTATGGACATTGGTACCCAGGACTCCAGGCGGGCGCGATCGGCCGGGCTTCAAGTGCCTGTCGCTGTACTGCTTGTGCCTGCGAGAAGCCGTGACATCGGTTGTCGATCTGATATCTGAGTCACCGTCGGATACGTCTGAGGATGCACTGTGTGCTCGTGAACGTCGTCGGGGGAGAGGGACTGCAGTCTTCTTGTGGCGGTCTCGCGGGCGAGGCAGGTTGGCGCCATGTCGGCCTCCATCGAAGGTCAGGCGCAGATGCGGGGCTCTTTCGTAGTTGCGATTCACTGGTCGATGGGCTTGCGGAGAGATGGGCGGGGGCGTGGGGTCGCGCGACGGCGGCTGTGGTTGAGCCTGGAGTTTCCTTTTGATTACAGAGGAGCGCTGGCGATGGCGCACGGCAACCTCGTACAGCCGCGAAGCCTCTGTGAAGGCAAACTCTCTCTGGTTGATGGCCTTTTGCAGGTGCTGGGCGATCTGCTTGCGCAGCAGTGTGGGGTCGGGGCGCTCTTGCTCTGATATGGTCGGGAGCTTGCCGTAGAGCACGGTGAGGTCGTGGACGTGCTGAACCGCATCGTGGTAGTTTGAATCGAGGTCGCCGATGAGGGCCAGCGAGCGCACCAGATCGGAGGGGAAGAACTCGGTATAGTCGAGGAAGTCATTGACAGTGGTTTGGGCGTCTGGATTCGGGGCGGGTTGGGCCCTCTCTGGCGCATCTTCAGCTTCAGACATGGCGCATCGCGGGGAGGCAGAGAAGTGAGAGGCGGCAGATGCGCGCGTCAGACGCTCCAGCCACGCGTCAACTGTGTCCTGGAAGAGAATCAGCGCGACAGCGAGGGAGCGAGATGCGATACGGGCGGATCGCGATGGGGTGCAGTGTAGAGGTCGTCGCAAATGGAGGTGCAGCGACAATGGCCGCTACAGTGCACAGACGCCGGATGAGCCAGGACAGCAGTTAAGCCACTTTATTAATATTATTATATTTTAGAAATAAGGCTATTAAGCTACTTATAAAAGCAATTATTGCAAAATTTTTTAATATATTATTATATAAAGCTTTGCAAAATTTTTATACTATTTAAATTTTTTTAAAATTTTAATTTAGCAGCCGCGCAAAGTAGTTTTAAATAGAAAAAATAGTAGTATAAATACAGTATTAGTATAATTTTTAGCACTTATAATATAATACTTTTTTATAAATTTTTATATAGTGCTTTATAAAATTTTTTACTTGCTTTTATTTAGTATATTATAAAATTTTTATAAAGTTGTAGTATTATATTATTATTATTTAAGCGCCTAAGCAGCTATTTCTATAAATAAAAGTAAAGTTAACGCAAGAGCAGATTATACAACGCAGTAAAAGAAATTAGTATAAAACTATAGTTTAGGTACTATACCTAGCACCTTAATACAGTATTAAGGCAGTAAAATTTATATAATACTAGGCTAGCTAAATAAATTATTAAAATTAATAATTATTATTAGCAGACCTAATACGTTATTATTTAAAAATTATAGTAATATAATTATTAACTTTTAATAGTAACTAATTTGTTTAGGCAATGCTAGGCAGGTTAAATTAAACTAAAATAGGGCAGTTAGTTAAGTTTTTAAGCTTTATAAACTATTATTAAATTATAAAAAATATTTAGCTTAATATTAAAAGCTTAGTTTAGTTATAAGCTTACGCTTTATTTAATATTTTTCTAAATAAAAGTAAGCAATTTAATTAGTAATAGTATATAAAATATTAATTAAAATTTTAATTTAGCAAGTTAGCTTGCAAAAATTGTAAGCTATAGTATTTTATATAATTATTAATAAGATTTATAATAGTTAAAAGTAGAAAGCTGCAAATAGTAGTTCTAAATGTATAATATATATATAAAAAAATTTTTTTTTTTTATATAATTGTCCTATGCCCTTGCAGCAAGCTATATTAATTATTAATAATTATATAATACTTACTAACGCCGTTTATATAACGCTTATTAATAATTTTTTTAATCCTGCTTTTTACTTTATTATTTTATTAATATTTATAAAAAGTACTTAGTAGTATAGCTTTTTATATAAAACTAGTATTTTAAATTAATATTAGTAGGCGTTTAAATACTCTAGTAAACTTAAACAGATTTTTAAAAACTTAAATACTAGGCTTTTTAGCATGCTAAAGTATTTTACTTTTAATTAAATTTTTTTTTAAAACTTAAATTTTTTTAGCAAAAAACTCTACTAAAAAAAATTAAATATATTAGCTATATTTATTATTAGCTGCTAAATGTAAACTTTCTACTATAGCCTAATTACAGGCTAAAAAACTTTTATTACTAATTAGTAAAATAAGCTTAGAGCCTTTTACTTAGCTTTTTAAAATAAAAAGCCTATCTAACTATACTAAAAATTATTTTTAAGCTGCTGTAATTATCTATAATTTAATAATTAAAAATAATAGCTTTTTGCAGCTATAAAAATTGTATAAATGCTTAAGTAGCTTAATAAAAATTTTAAAAAAAAAAGCAAGCAATTAAATTAGGCATGCGCTTATTAATAAAAAAAAAAAATAGTACTAAAGAAAAAAAAAAGCAAAGAGCAAAAAATAAAAAGTAAAAAAATAGTTAAGTATTAAAGCTAGTATTGCAAGAAAAATTATTATTATTATTTATATTACTATTATTATTGCTTAAAGGCCTAGTATTAGTTAGCTGCTTAGCAGCAGTTTAATATTATGCTAGATATTTAAATATATATTTAAAAACTATTAAAAAAAACTGCGCTTTAGCAGTTAAAGTTACATTATTAAAAATTAAAAATTTATTACTTAGCAATTCTAAAAATAAAAGTACGCAATATATAGTAAAAAATACTAATAATATAAGCTATTAATAACACATTAGGTCC